TGTCTCTACAAATGTTGGGGGCTTCGTCATTGATGGCTATTTGGACATCCACTAGGAATAGGATTAGGAACATCTACATGTCCCTCCATTATGGGACATCACGTTGATATTTCCCATTAGAACCCATGCCACGCTGTGCAATGTGCTCTCTCCTCACTGGCCTGTCAACGTATCCAAGTTGGATCAAATTTTGATTAATTCTAATATAAATTTAATTTTAAAATTTTGATTCGAATCTAATAACCCGAGAATTTTTTATTTTTATGGTCTAAATTAAAATTTGATTTATTCTGAATAACTTAATTAACTAAAATTTTAAAATAATAATTTAATTGTTTTAATATTTATATAAAAATATAAAAATAATTTGAATTATCGATAAAAAAATTTCAATCCATTGACATGGTGGGCATCATTGCCATTTTATTTTTCTTTTCATAAGCGATAGCCACGTGTTTTTAAAATTCGTAATTGTTACTTAAACTCCAAACGTGCACTATGTTATTTTTTTAAGTAGCATACACCAATTTATCGAGAAATCAAATTTGGGATCTTGAGATAGTAACCCCTCACAAGGCCCTCTCATCTCACCCTGGCTAACGCACGAAATTGATTTCATTTCGGGTCTAATTCATGTTATTTTACGTCATTACATGTACAATACATTATCAAATACATGCAATGCAACAACTAAAACACACTCAAACCCAAATTAGTGTTATATTAATCAATACCACATTAATCAAGTCATACAACATTGCTGTGCTTACGCCACGGAATGGTAGGTCAGAGAGAGAGAGAGAGAGAGATGAAAAACTACCACAGGAATGTCACAAGCTCAAAAGACTAGAGAGCACAAAATAGTATAGTTCTCAAGATATTTCCCCAACAGATACCATAGTACATGATTGACCCTGCCGTTTCTAAAACTAGGGATACACAGCAAAACCTGCCTAAAACTTGAAATCTTTCTTCTTTGATTTCCCCTCCTTGTCCTGCATCTTCCGTTTCCTCTTCTTCTCGTTCTGCATAATTTCGTGTCATCAAAATAAAATTTTCAAAAAAATTAACAATATTTAACAATTACTGAAAAATAACACACACCTCAGCAACCATGTCACTGAAATCCTCACGCTGACTACGCAGCTTCTCTTCCTCCCTGGCTTCCTCATACCTGAGGAACACAATAAGAGAATAAAACACCGGATACTCTTGGCACTACAACAGCCTCAGGCATACCTGAAGCAACTTTTAGAGGGCAAACAACCCCAGCAGATTATATAAACAAGAGGAGGTCCACTTACTTGGCAGGCAATACATTGTCCATAAGTTCCAACTCTTCTGGGGCTAATGTGACATCAACTCTATCNATACATTGTCCATAAGTTCCAACTCTTCTGGGGCTAATGTGACATCAACTCTATCCGTTTTCTGGCCTTTAAGCAGATCAACCTAAAAACAGAATGACAAAAAGCATGAGACACGTCATTAAGCTTGTCAACAACTAAGATCTTGCAACAGCATTGTCTACACTCAACGTTAATAAAAAGCAAATAACTGGCTATCTTATAGTTTGCTAACCATATGATGGATAACAAACAAAATGAATAGCAATCTGTTGGAACATGAATTCCAGGTCAATTTACGCAACAAGAACAGTTTAGGTGAACTTAGCATACTTCCTCCTTTGATCACCATAAAGTGAATATAAACAGAGCATCTATACAACAGCATATGAACCAGCTCCCTGCCAAAACTAAAGGCTTCCTATTATGGGCACTAGCATGTAACTCTCATTCCCCAGATGACGTTATCAGAAAATGCCGAGCAATGTCGCATTGGAATTGTTCAAATTGAACAATCAAATCGAACAATTATGACATATCTTGGGCAGCCCGGGCCAATGGTGCATAAGCAGTGCAGAAATAACACTGGAACACATTGTCTTATCAAGACTCTTAAATGAAGCGAATCAAAACCAAGCAGGATTGCAAGTCCTACATAGTACTTGTAAATGAGTAAACTACATGAGCTATCTGAGTTCATACTGCTGATAAGAGTCAGAATCGAAAGAATAAGGTTAACCAGCCAAAATTAGCTTCAGCCAAGGCAGTTTAAATTTGCTCAGTCACAAGCAGATGAATGTGAAGGATGAATCACAAGCAATTCTTTCAATAACAAGGTTTTTTTGACAAGCTGACCTCGGTTGAATCTGAATCACTATTAAAACGTTCCATTGCATATACCATGGCATAACATTTTCAAATAGGAGCACCATGGTACACATTCTTTGCCAATATAAGATTTAAAATAGATAAATTAAACATAAGCATCAAATACTGCTTTGATGCAAAGGAAGAAGTAATCAGATCTGTTTACCCTTTTGGCTCCTGTTTTGTCTTGTGTACCACTGCCAATCACATACCTGTAGGCAGGAAATTGTAAAAGGAACATTTCAAGACTAAAAAGTTGAATAAAGTGCCTCTAAATGTAAATTGTTATTTTTCAAAACAAGCAGATTGCATACGTATGAGATGTTCCAAGTAATGTGCCTGGAGCTATCTTTTCTTCTTTCTCGTCAAGCACCTTCACAAAACAAGAATTGAAAACTGTGAACTTCAGGATACGGGATGACGAAATCATGGAGGAAAAGGGGGAAGTCTCATAGGATGTACTCACTTGGTAGAGAGGCTTCTCAGGCTCCTTCCTCTGCTGTTTGCGAAGGTCTATGACATCTGGAGTCTCGACACCAGTAGGGGTGCTGAACAAAGAAAAGCAGAATAACATATTTATAGAAATTAGAGGTTCAAAAAACTTCGCTTTCCCTCCATTAACTCAAAACACATTGTAGTGCCAGACAAAACAATGGCAAACTCACAATCACCAAACCTTCAAAATCACCTACGACCTAAGAACAATTATAGAACTGGCAATAAGGGCAGCCACATACCTCGACAAAGAATCTACAGATTGAATGCCATCTTCCAATTCCTCATCCTCGATCTCTTCTTCTACTTCCTCTTCCTCCTCTTCTTCCTCTTCCTCCAAATCACCCCAATGCTTTGACTTATCAACAGGTTCCTCCTGAATTGTTTATCAGGCATATCATAAAATGAGTAGGTATAATTTCAAACATACATACATACGCATACATTAATATGACACATTTGGGCACAAAGTATCAATGTATTTAAAAAAGAGCCCAATGAAAAATGAAATCCAGCTCACAAATCTATGTCGGAAAGGGGAAATTTGGCTGAGTAAATGATAGTTGCTACTGAGTTTTAACCACCTTTTCAACGAGTCAATTTAACAGGAAAGCGAGTACTCCAAATGAATTACTGGTAACAGACTGTCTAAAACTGAAAGCACAAAATAATAATGAAATACCTCATAGTTGGGCTGTTCTTGTTGGTATTCGCCAAAAACATCTCCATACAAAGGGCGCCCATTCTAAATTAAAACAAACAATACGGATAAAATAGAAAGAAATCATTAGACACAGAAACAATGCGTCACAACATAAATGAGAGAATAAATGAACAGATAATAATAAGAACACATGGAAGAAGAATAGACCTACTTCGTCAACGGGTGGTTTGCCCCAACCACCAGGATGATAGCCAAAACTAGCTCCAGGTGGAATAGGAGCATTCAGCCCTGGAATTTTTAATTGGGGATAAGAAGGTGGAGGGCCATATCTCTGGCATTAAAAATAGTCAGTCGAGGCTCAAGACAACAAAACTGAAACCAATGTTACTGATCTTTCTTCCAACAAAATTCAAGAGCGAATACTCCAAAGTGAACTGGGATATTCAATATCAAGCACATAATCACCCAAAATCTAATTACTATCTAACCTGCATATTTATAAGCCAAGGAGGAGGAGTGCCTTCTGGCATCCCAAGGGCATCTTTTAATTCCTGTGATAGCATTCCAGGTTTCATCTCCCTTAGCTTTACCTATATAACATGCAAATGAAAGTAAAATAAAGCAGTTTACATTCTTTAAAAAAACCATCATTCCACTATTCCCAACAAATGTACAGTTAACAAGCTTGAAATGTCACAAGTGCCTTCATGCAAATGGGTGCTGCCACTTTTATGGTGACAAGCATGTTATCCCAGTATTGTTGATTAAAAATTACCAATTGCACTGTTATGCATGTCTCCAACAAAATAAGGTGAGTACTGTCAAAAAAAAGAAAAATAAGGAGGCTCACTATTTTCTAGCTTCAAAGTTTAAGAAACATATAATGCACAATGCTTGACAGAAAAATAAGACCACCTGTTAGCTCCATGAAATCAACATCAAGACATTGTCCAATATGGACTATAAATTGGGTAGAACATTGTATATTAACATAAAATACAAAAGTAGCACCTTGTATATTAACATAAAATAGCATGATATCAAATTTATAAGGCTAAAGAGGGCATGGCAACTTACATCCCACCACACCCCAACACCATCCTGTTCAAATTATACACCTCTCTCTCATACCCATTCAATGCAAATTTTTTCTTTTTCATTACAAGTCAAACAGAAATCCTAAACCTATGCAGTGTATACAAAATTCCCAAACCCATTCACATAGCCGCCAGTCAATATTTAGCTTAACTTGCCATACTGGAGAAAAAGTGAAATACCAAAACGGACAAATATTAAATAGATAAATTAGTATGCTGAGGGACAACAAAAAGACAACTATGTACATTAATGTACCCATATTACACAAGGTTCATACCTCAAACTCCTTTCCCTCATGATACATATCACCATGTGCTGTCAGCTTTGGTTTTGTTTGGTATTTGAAAAAGGCATCATGGAGAACCTACAAATAAAAAACCAAAACACCATCAAAACAGTGCGAAAACAAGGGAAAGGACGAATCAATATGCAGGGCAACAATATCCCTCCAAATGCAACACAAACAAAAAAATGTGAAGTCCTAACAGAATTAGAATTTTGAAAAACCTGATAATCAATATCCATTTTTCCCATTTTTGGCTGCATCCTCTCACGTTGCTTCTGTTTAAGCTTCTTACTGTCCTCCTTTTCAATGTAAGCCTGCATACGAACACCACGAGACAGTCTAATAGGATCACAACTGGCAACAAAAGTGCACCTCTTTAGCAAAATTGAAAGATAGTAATGTGCGTGTGTCTGTGTGTGTGAGAGAGAGAGAGAGAGAGATTAATGGAAACCACTATGTAGACTAGTTTCTTTTGAAACCCTCTCATTTTAGTAGACAGATGATTAAATTAGTTTTCACCAAGTTTGTTAATCATTGCATTATAAAAACACAGGTGACAGATAGATTATACCCATCTAGTATGATCCACTCAGCTAAAAGAAAATAATCTCACTCAAATCCATGTGAAGTGTAGGCACTAAAAACTTTTTCATGCTTCAATCCCATTATCAGAAAAAGCAAAACGAGGTATGTTTTGATGACCAAGACCATGGGAGAGCATAAGTACAGCAAACTCTTGCTATACAGGTCACAAGATCGTGCTTACTTGTCTAATTTTCTCAATCCCTGTAGCAGCAATGAAATCAGGAAGTTGAAAAGGCTGTTTCTCAATACCACGCTTCCCCTGCAACGTAATTTCAAAACATAATGAGGTACAAGTAAAACAGCACATAACTTTTTAAGGAAATTCTACACTCAAATCAGCAGTTAAGAATGGCTTAGAGCCAGAATACTAGCAGTATAATATAGCAAATTTAATTAGGCCCCAGCAATTATGCACAAAGTAAATAGATCTGAAAAGCCAAAACAGCTTAATTAGCATCCTGCCAGTAAGAAATCCAATGTTTAGCACATCAAAAAGGTTCTTATGCCAGGCATGTTTATTTATCTAATAGCATCATATAAATGTCTAGATTCCAACCCAAACTAGCAAACATGATAAAACAGAAACCATGAAAGGGTGCCCCTTTCCAAACACCTACATGTCCAAGCTCCATGATTGTCACATCCGCTCCCCTGCAAGAACCACATATATACATATAAGACAAACCTCATCGACGTTATCCACACAACCCTCATTGTTAACCACCCCTCATTTATGCATGCCCAACATATTTATTTCCCAACCATTTTACAGAAAACAAGGACTATGACCACCATTAATTCTGCACTATAATTTGACCCATGGCGCTTAATTTAGCCTCCGTAACTCACCTGCAAAAATTTCCTCTTCTGAGACCAATGCCTCGGCACTGGAACAGTATTTCGATATGATTTCAGAAATACAAGCAGCTTAGGGTCCCCTGCAGTAGCATCCCATACCTGAAAATCGTAAAATTGCCTTACTAAATGAAGTTGACAATAATAACATTAAAAATATCAACACTACATTAGTTATAGCAATAATATGAACTGCCACCATTATCAGGATAATGATAACATGTTAACAAAGGTCATCAAATGTATAAAGACTTGAACCACCAATCCTAAACCATCTACAGGTCCTCATATCACGATATTGTCAGACACTCAATGCTTGTCAATCATATATACCTAGGCTGCAACTCCAGGAGGGTTGGGCAGGTTGAGAGGACAACCCAGGCTCAACACAAATTATAAGACCTTCAACCTGAGCCTAACTGAACCCGATTTTCAACCCGTGCTACTCAATCCAAGTACTACCATGTATATTTTTTAAAACTAGGGTTGAAATAGCGTTACTCAATTTGGGTCCAACTATGGGTTAAAATCAATGTCATAGTTCAAGTTCATATTTCAGGTCGGATTTGTGTTTAAAAACTTCATAGCATGGCTGAATCGGCCTGGACTCTGCAGTACTTCGCCGTAGAAGAAGAACGGAGAGATAGGGAATTCGCCTGTGTTTTTGGTTTATGTTTTTTATTTGTGTGCAGACCAAACGAAAATCAAGAAAAGAGGAAACAATATCAAGAAGAGAGGAAAAGAATGAAAGAAAAAGGAAGATATATATATATATATATATATAGAGAGAGAGAGAGAGAGAGAAAGATTAAGAGGAGACAGAGACTTGAATTGATTTTGTACACTGTTTGGAGTTTTGGACTGGAGCCAAAGTGCCAAACCAGAAATGAGAGAGAAGGAAGAAGAAGGGGGGGAACTAGGAAGTGTAATGGCGCAACAAATGGATTGGAAGAGTTGGTAGCAATTAACAAACCATACCACTTTTCCTTTTACACATAATATAATATTTCTCCCTTATTTTTGGGTTGAATCTGTGCTTATAATCTGTGGGCAGAATATCGTTTGTAATTCGTGTTGAACCCGAAGTCATGAATTCAGTCCCTGTTCAGGAAGAACCCGTAAACCCAAAGCACCAACCTGTTTTATGCTCAAATTCAATTCAGGTCGTAATTTTTATACCCGGACCAAACCAAATATTGAAAACCTATGCCGAAGTGTTGTATTTTTAGGGTTGAGATCCGGTTGGGTTCTGGTTAACCCGCCGAGTTTGCAACCCTACATATACCTTCCTTTCCATTATGGGAATAGCAGACCAACTCTTTCCTATTGAAGAAGATTATTTTTAGATAAAGTTGGGCGATTGCAACATAACGTCCTCTAGGTAACTAGAAGAGTCAAAATCACCTAAACAACAAAAAAACAGCCCTCCTCCATCTTCAGCAACAACTAAATGTAAACCACATACTTGATTGATGCGCTAAAAATACCAGCATTCCAACATATTCAACATTCAACAACCATACGAGAACAGTATATATTATTATCCATGTTAAGTAAGATTTGATAAATTGGAATGTGCTAAATGAGAAAATTTTCATCGTCCAGGGATGCTAGAGTTAGTTGGAAAATGGAACTACCAATAAAATCAGTTGTAGGTGAGAGGAAAATGGCTCGAAAGAGGATCGAGAATAACCAAAGTGAATATGAAATGGCCGCAACACAAAATGTACTAAAGACAGGTAGTTTGGGGCCCTAGACGCAGTATTCTTTCCATTTTCTTATTTATTAGCATTACTTTTTTTCCTGGATCGAAAAAATGGACTTTTTGCCAAATATTATCAGAGAAACAGATACGGTTCCTATCTGTTCCACGATAAAGGAGCTCTGGATGACTTACACAACAACATTCAAACGAAATCCTAAAAGTTGCAAAGATGGTTTGGGCACCATTTCCAAACCTCATGATTTGCAAAAAACAAACAAATAACCACAGAAAAAAGTAATATATAAAGAACTGCTAATCTATTATCCATCCTTACCTCAACTACATCAGGCCTTGAGCAGATCTGTTTCAGGTCAGCAATCTTCATCCGACGCTGAAGCTGAAAGAGAGTAATTATTTTAGCTTTCTAGCACATAAATTAAAAATAAGAATAAGAAGAATAGCAACATCATCAGAAACTAGAAGAAACATAGATATTANGAAGCTGAAAGAGAGTAATTATTTTAGCTTTCTAGCACATAAATTAAAAATAAGAAGAAGAAGAATAGCAACATCATCAGAAACTAGAAGAAACATAGATATGATAGCAGATACGGAGCTGCAACGACATACCTTTTTCTTTTTATTAGAAATGCTTTTCTCCTTCTGCGTGGCATCCTGTTCTTCCTCATCTGAATCCGAGTTTACATTCTTCTTTAAGGCTGCATCAGGGGCAGTCTCATCTTTTTTATCATTATCCTGAACAAATTTGAATGGGAAAATAAGAGAGGATCGAAGCAAAACAGAAATGAACACGTTAAAAGCAAATTACACAGTAAAATGTAATTTCCAATAGCTGATTAAATCTCCTACCTCAGAACCAGCAGTTTCCTTAAAACAGAATTTCTCAAAGACTTTTCTGAATTCCTCATCAACGTCACCATAAAAATCTGCCTTTTCTGGGACATACTCTACGTCAACTGGCTCCAAATCCTGTCAATTTACAAGTAAAACTACAAAAGCTAAGGACTATGCACCAAACTAGCAATTTGCAGAAGCATCCACATAAGGATAAAAAATTCCCAATTCAAATCCGTGCAACTGACTGACAAATGAACCCTGATTGAAGATCAAAGTCCAATAGAGTCTAATTCGTTAGGAGAACCAAAAAAATCACATTGATACCAACAGAAAATCTTGTTATGCATTCTGGAGCTATTCCAGATAATCAAGCAAACGAAAGGGCCAAGTTCATTGGCCTACACTGTAAAAGGGGGAGAACATATGACACTCCAATGAAATCATCCATACTGCATCTTCATTCCCAAAGAATTGAAAATTTAATAAATGTTATTCATATGATTAATTCATCTTCCAAAGAACAAAATAAATGTAATGAGTGTAGAAGTGATTTTGTCATATCACCCAAATTTCAAAAACACATTGGTCCATCAGAACAAAAATATTTGTGAAGTTATTAATCATTCCCTCTTGTAACAAAAATGTTAGCATAAAGATTTTTTCCCAACTAGAATTTAGAGAAGCATGAGCAAACAATGATTAATTCGAACACACATTTTTTTCCCAGTATTACATACCCAAACAAGCACTACTTTTAACAAAAAAAAAAACATTCGTGGATCTTGCCTTCTGTGCAAATCTAGAATTCTACTTTCCAGAGTAACCATGACTCAGTCTGCATTTTTATGACTATCAACACAGCAAAATATTTTTCTTATTGGGTTTATGAAAAAAACTCCCGGAGTAATTGAACATAAATATCTAGTCATCACCCTATCTACAGCACAAAACACTGAACACCCACATCATCAAAACTTAACAAACTAATACAATCACAGCCAAAGTTGTATGTGTGTCTAGCCATGCATCGAGTGCATCTTACTAAAATAATTCACAAAATTAGAAAACGATCACTAAACCAACTTCAACAGCTAGTTAGTTAAAAAGCTTCATTGTCATTCCAGTACTTACAAGCAAACAAGCAATTAAATTCTTCCAAGCAAAGATACATATGCATACATCTATACGTGGGCATATTCAGTTCACCAAAACACAAGAGTTAAATTTTGCAGATCCAGAACAAAAAAAATGAAGCAAATAACATTTAATTTCGTTCCCACTTTCATAACCTAGATAATCAAGATCAGCCAAAATCTATCGAAACAAACCCTAGAGCGAACAAGGGAAGGAAAAAATAAAATCACCTTTTGAGGATCGGAGTTTTCCTTGGCACTATCATCGACGCCGTTACCATTCTCCGCGGCGGTATCGCTGTCGTCACCGGCAGTGGATTCAGAGGCTTTCTTGTTTTTCTTCTGCTTCCGCCGCCTCCGGCGACGCTCGCTCTCGCGGGATTTCTTGCTGGCGGCTGTCATGTTGATTTTCTCTGCGACGCCGTTTGCTACTTCGACTGTCATGTTGATTTTCTCCTCTTCGGTGTAGCGAGAGTGGAGAGAGGAGAGGGATTGGGTTTGGGATTAGGGTGGGGGGACGGGGGAGTCGGGGAGACGGAGTGAGAGAGAACAGGAATAAGATAAAGGGTAAATTGCACTATGGTCCCTGAGGTTTATCACTTATTACTCTTTCGTCTCTAAAGTTCTAATTGTATCAATTTCGTCTTCTATATTAACACATTAACTCACTTTGATCCTTATCCCTAACTGTCATCCAAATAATTAGGGCTATTAAAATTTGACACGACACAATTAACCGACACGAATTAAACAGATTTGGGTGAGATCTTAACGAGTTTTGGTGATAAACGGGTTGACACGCCAAATACGTTTAATAAACGGGTCGTGTTTGGATGAGACCTGTCAAACCGTTTATCACACGTTTACCCGTTTAAATAAAATTAATATAATAATAAATTAATAATTATATAAAAAAAAATTAACAAGAAAAAAGAAGTAAATAAATCAATAAAAAAAAAGAAGTAAAGTAATAGTTTAAAGACAAAGGAGAAGAGTTGGAGAGCACTTCAAAAGCAAAGGCAAATAAATGTTTTTTATTTTTGTCTCACATTGAAAAATGAGAGGAGATGGGGAGAGTTGAGTTATCTATAAAAAACAATGACCTTTTGTTTTTGTTTTTAAAACCTTCAAGTCTTATTTTTCAAAGACAAATAAGAGGAGTTATATAACACTTCAAATACAATGACAAACCAATGTCTTTTATTTTTGTCCCACATTGAAAAATGAGGGGAGATGGAGAGGGTGAGTTGCCAATAAAAGGCAATAGCCTCTTGCTTTTTTTTTTTTAAAGTTTTCAAGTCTTATTTTTATGAGATTTGATTTGAAATTCTTTTTTTTTTAGGTAAGTGCAATTAGTAGTAAAAAAAATGGAGTATTAAAATTTTTTGATATAATTTTTTTAAAATTAAATGGGTTAAACCAGTCGTATCGTGTTACCTGTTTATTAAACGGGTCGTGTTCATCTTGAGATTTTTTACTCGTTTATTAAACGTGTTGTATATGGGTTTATACGTTTTTTACTCGTCACCCGTTTAACCTAACACGTAACCGTTTAATCCGATACGATTGACACTCCTACAAATAATAGACGGAAAATGTCATGTGTTTGGCATATGAGGGTATTAAGGGACATTTTTTGTCATTGTACTTCCAAAGACAAAGGGCACAAATGAAAAAACAATTTTTTAAGACAAAAACACCGACAACCCCTTCATTTTTCCCAACCTTGAACCCTGGTCGATAGTTCCCTAGTACTAACGACCAGATCCTCCCACCCCTAACAGCCATCTCCAAATGACCATCGTTACTTGGGGATCCTCCCAGCCCTAACACTAACCCCGATGCCCCTAATCCCTAACAGTCATCCCCAAAGTGACCATTATCACTTGTAGATCCTCTCACCCCTAACACTAACCCCAATGCCCCTAATCCCTAGCAGCCATCCCCAAGTTGTCACTTGGGGATCCTCCCACCCCTAACACTAACCCCGATGCCCCTGATCTCTAGTGGCCACCCCGATCTCTCTTTCTTTCTCTCTCTATCCTTCTTTTACTGCGAGCATCATCACCAGCCACCATAGTAGCTGGCGTAGCTCTGAAGACTTCCAAGTAAGACCTTTTCTTTGCTCTTTCATCTTCTCTTCTTGGTGGTCGATTCTTCTCCTCTTTCTTTTATAGTCAAAACCATAAACTAACCAAACGATTCTTCTTCTCTTTTTGATCTATCTCTCTTTCTTAATACACACACGCACTCACACAGGTGGTTGAAGAATTGCTCGAATTACATAGGCAATTCGAGTTCACTCAGCAAGCCAAAATCGATCATCCACTTATCAGAACAAAATGTCGTTGAATTGGTTCAACAACTCCAATAGCTCCAAATTATCGACTTCAATCTTCTCCACACCATCTCTGACAAAAAATACATCACTCCTATACAACTTGTGCTCTCTCTTTCTTATAGAACTCAGAAGCATCACCAACTGCAAGTTCTGAATCATATGGATGTGTGACTATGGGTTTGTGTTTCTGGGTGTATATTTGTGGTTTTATGTTGTGTTTGTGTTAGGATTTTAGAGAAACAGATGTGTTAGGTTTAGGGGGGTAAAGACGCAGCAACGAGAAAGACAGAGAGAAGGATGTACGTGTGTAAGGAAGAGAAAAAAGAAAAAAGAAAGAAAGAAGGTGGGTTTTTGAGTTTATGTTAATGTATACATACAAAGGATAATTGTGTTTGGATGTATAAATAGCTATAAAAATACTAAAAATGCCCCTTAATACCCTCATGTGCCAAGCACACGATATTTTATGTCTATTATTTGGACGACAATTAGGGGTAAGAACCAAAGTGAGTCAATATGTTAACATGGAGAACAAAATTGATGAAATTAAAACTTTAAGGATGAAAGTATAATAAGTGGTAAACCTTAGGGATCATTAGTGCAATTTATCCAAGATAAATTATAACTATACCCCTATAGAATGTTCTAAATATAGATAGATCTCTCTAATTTTTTGAAATATACCGACAACCCCAGTCAATTTTTGTCCTGAGACAACGGAAGTTGCAATTTTCCAGTTTCACCATCCTAATTTGCAATATTAATTGGTCAAATTACTAACAATATTGACGCATCTCCTTTGTTTATATAATATAATTAAGATGTTCAAGACATTTGAGAGCAAACTACTAATAAATAAATAAAGGCAGTAAGAAGATGAACAAATTCTTACATCTATGAAGGAAGGTTCAAGTTCAACTGATGATTCTGACTCTGATCCTCCGTTGGAGGTGAACTCAAAGCCTTCCAACTACACACCACCCTTGATGAAACTGAATGAAAATCGAATTGTTGACTTAGATTTAGATCCCTTTGAAATCATAAAGACTTCGATTTATGATGTAGTTACGCCTCAAACAATCAGACATATTACCATAGAATCTCGTAAAATAATTAATTCAGTACCAAGGGAATTTCTTCCTGTCCTTGAAGACCTTTTATAATACACTATCAAAGCTCGAAGAAAACGAAGGCCAATAAGGTATTCTAGAGACTATATACCGTGTAGAAAATCAAACAAACATAGGCGGCTCCCTAGTATGCAGGGGCCTAGAAAGACATTCGTTCCAAGCCCCAAGACACCCAAGCAAAGGTTGTCTCTAAATTGAACTTGTAAAATAATACTTTGTTAATACCAAATTTTTATTTGTACTTTGTTTATAGTGTTAGATTAGTTAACATTTGCTAATGCATTTCACTGTAAAATTTGTACTAGAAGAAAAAAATTTCATAAAATCATCACTTCTTTTAAAAAAATGATGACAAAAGTGGAATCCGAAACAAGTGTACAAACTATTGAGAGGAGTAAAGTGGTATTTTTAGAAACTAGAGGCGTAGGTGTTTCTGTATTTAAATCTAACTATAAGGGGCACCATTGTAGTTTGGGCCAGGAAAAATGACCCAAAACCAATAAGGTCGGGTCGGTTTTTTGGGCTTCAGATATTTTGTTGAGCTATGAAGGGAAAACTATCCTCCACCACACACCACAAAAATAGATTGTATATAAATGATTGCATGTTGTGTCGGTTTGTAAGTGATGTAAGTCGTGTCAAAATTAGTTCAATTTGGTAATACATAAAATTATTATGCAAGATTAATTCATTTGATAGTATGATGTAAAATAATTAATAATGATTAGGTAGATAAATCTGGGTGACTTAATCATTGAGGGCAGCAACGATAGTCAAAAAACTCTATTAATGAGAGAATATAAAATAATAGAGGAGAGAAAGAGAGCAAAAATATGTTTAAGGTGAAGTATGTGATATCCACTCCAATGCGTAGGGGGTTTACAATTTATAGGCACAGAACCCTAACTTTGGTAGTGACATAAAGGTCAAGTTACTAATTTATCGGAAGAATACTTACAATTGGGAATGAACACTATTTTAAAGTAATGACTATCTAGATGATTGTTCTCCCACATACGTTAACTCTTCCTAGAATCTTGAACTTTAGATTGTACTGAAGTCGTGAGTTACGTGTAACCTGTCTTTTAATGATTTTGGTTTAACCCATGAGCTCGGCCCAAATCTGATCTAAATCTAGCCTCGTCATAACTTATGTCCAATCTATTTATGAAGCATTTGAGACATGCTAACCGATTATAACTCAAACTTATTAAAACTAAACACATTCTTGGTGATTTTATATCTGACACATTTTTTTTTTTTTTTTTTGTGAATTGTTATAAAAATTATCTCATCATGTCTACTTACTAGTCATAACCCGTGCCTGAAGGTACGATAAAATATAAAATTCAAGCGTCCAAAAAATCGATCTCACTACATTAATTTTTTTTAAAATATATTAACTACAAATTAATCAAATATTAAATGATTAAATATATGATAGAAATGTGTGATACGATATTTTTAGGGAGAAAATATATAACTGATTAAACATGTGATAGAAATGAGTAATGTGATTTGACGTTTGAGTCTGAGTCTGACAAAGATATGATGAGTGAAATAAGTGATTGGTGATGATTTTGAGGGAGAAAATATGACTGGAACAAAATTCAAACACACTACTGTTTATTATATAGATATCAAGATTGTTTCAACCCATCTACAACCCACCTGTCAAAACAAGACCTATGGGTCAATTCAATTAAGAACTAAACCCAATAAGACTAAATTTGTTAATCGATTATAATTCAAACCTATTAAAATTAAAACACATTTACAATCATTTTGTATCTGACACTTCTTTTTTTGTTGAATTGTTATACAAGTTGACGTGCCATGTATACTTACATCAAGATTGCTACAACCCATCTATCAAAACGAGACCAATGGATCGATTCAATTATGAACTAAACCCATTAAGACTAGATTTATATTAGTAACTTTATATTGATTACATACCAAGTTATTGATGTTTATTAAGAATTACTAACCCTAGTCATATGTGCTTAAGTCATGCCCTTCTTCTTCCTTTCTTAGTCACGGCTTGAAACT